CCTGGGTCGGTTTGCCCAGTAAGCTCTCCTTCTGAGTTTCTGCGGAAGAGTCGTAGTGTGAAAAGAGCAACAATCACCGCTGCTGCTTTGATAGCCGGGAGCCGTGGTACCAGCCATTAATTACGACTTGTATCTACACTTGAACCTTTCTATAGGCTATAGGATGAGCTTACACCTCTTACACAGGTTTGGGAATGGCCTGCCTGAAGGATGTTTCGGGAAGTAGGCGTGTCAGTGTGCAAAGTACGGCCAAACTCTGGGCATTTGAAGTTTGCGTATCTCTGGGCCGATTTCGTGGCGTCACTGTCGGTTAATGCCGCACTCAAATTCCCACCAGCTTTCTTTATTGTCTGCGTGCCCCACCCAAACCCCTGCATTGTAGCCTTTGCCATCATACACGGGGTACTAGATTCCGCTGCCTTCTGCAAATTACTTCCCGCATCACAGAAGATCTTGCATTGTTGAAAAACAAAGCCAAAGAAGAAGGAAGTCGTCATAACATCAACTCGTCATTGCTCAACATGTCACCAATGGGTTTAGGGCTCTCAGCACTCAAGCTGCAGAGCTTCTGGCCACAGTCTGACCGGACAAGAGCGGTTGACTGGAAATCTCAACTAGGCCTAGGCTTCAAACTTATCATCTTTCTGGCTGAAATGAAGCCAGCAACATCCCGATGGACCCCTATATAATCCACTTCAAAGACTGGTTCTCGCCTTTGTCCGTATTGACAGGCAAAGACAGCCCCGTCGTACGGATGCGCGGAGCTCGACGCTCGGAGCCAGGTCAAAATGTCAGCCTCCCACAACACCCTACGGAACCCCCATATGAACTATAGTCTGAACTCCTTAAATTTGGTTGTATAGGGGATGACGTAGGGCTTAGGATTCAGGGTTTAGGGTCTAAACGGATTATGTAGGGGGATTATATTTGGGAGCACTATAGGGGTGATTAAGGGGGATACTAGGAGCGTAGACTATAGTTCACATGTAAATCGACTCCGCGTGGACATGCTGGGATTGGGGGGGCTCTTTCTTTGCGGATTCTGGAGGGATCACTGGGAGCATGCGTGGATTGCGGCTGCTCTTCATCGGAAGGGTACAGAGACGTCTAGAATTGCCCCAGTACTTATAACCCCATTGTAGTAGTTTCCATTTTCTTTTCCATTATCCCAATGTAACCCAATGGGTACCTATATCCCCAATACTTTAAAACATCACCTCACAGGGTTACTCCCCCGCCACATTTCCTTTGTGGCTGTTTAGTGGGTGTACACGGAGAATGCCCCAGGACTCCGAAATTATCATGTTGAGGTCCCGCTCCTTCATGGCAAGATCCCCTGAAAGAAAGGAATTGCTCAGCAGCTGTAACTGTACATGGCGTGGAGGACTTCAACCATCAAACTTGACGTGACGTGCAATCTGTTGTTACCAGGTGCCTTTCCAAGCAGGCGTGGAGGACATCCTCCAGTTCCTGAGCGAGTACAGCATCCGGGAGCACCTTGGCTGTGGAAATGGCAAGGCAGGTTCCAGTTAGAAGGATCTCTTAAAGGTCCACTTAAAGCCCCAAACTGAGCAGCTCGGTAGTTCGGCAGCTCCAGAGACACCAGAACTTTTGAGTTTTCCAGGCACGACATCACCTTCATGAAGCGGCCCGATGGCAAGCACATGGGCGAGGCCCAGCTGCCAAGAAGTCAAACTGCTTCTTGGGATTCCCCAAGCGGTAAGAGGAGTGATGAGAACAAGCGGTAATACAGAAGAAGGAGAAGGTGTGTCTCCTGAAGCTACTGTTGCTTCTGTGGCTACCTCATCAATTAGTCAATCGCGGACACGCAGAGGTTGCCAGTAAGACGAAGAATGTATGTAGTCGAGAAGCATCATGCAGCAGCCTCGAAGTGAGAATTACTCGTACAGTTGCAGCAGCAGCAGCAGCAGCAGCAGCAGCAGCAGCAGCAGCAGCAGCAGGCAGCAGCCGCAGTACTGCCGTTTCCCAGATGATAAACTCGGCTGGCACCCCTCCGTTGCCCGAAGGCAGTCGTCGTGTTCCCGAACCCCCAGCTGGCTCAAAAAGCCTTGGCTTGTGTCTCAGACAGATAGCATGCGCAGTGCGAGTCAAAGCCATTTTAAGTTCGTCCATCAAGCTACAGCTCGCAAAGACCTAAAAGATTTCCAAGCACTTCACAGGCTTGTTTTAGTCTAAAAGGATCTCATGGCCTGCCTTCAAAGTATGTCTCCTTGCCGTTGAAACAAGACCAAGGACGAGAAACAGCGCCAAGAGATCCAGGGGCGTTACATTGAACTCTTTAGGCTGCGACAGGGGTTCAGGTTTCAGCTGAAGAAGGCAGACATTTGGGGTCGAGTCCAAAGTTTGGTGGTGGGCAGTCCTTCACAGCCGCGCAAACTCCTGGATAATTGTGGTGTGATCATGTGATGGCAGCTTGCCCGGAGTCTGCATGGGGCTGCTGATACGTCAACACGAGCTTTGGCACTGCACTGATTCGATGCTTGCAGCCTCGACGCGGCTCTAACCTGTAGTTTTAAAACAAATGCAAATGCACTCTCCATTAGTCCCATGTAAGCTGCTTGCATCTGAACCCACTAAAGCACTGAAAGCCAGCAATCGCGGCGCCGTCAGCAAAGTCCTCATTTTCCGTGACAGGTCGAGCCATGGAGAGCTCGAGGAGATCCGCACGCAGAAGTCCTAGCTTTGTCCATGAAGAGCAGGCAGTATGATTGGAAGCCAGTAGGAGCTAACTCTCGTGCATAATGTGCGTGTGCGAGGACTTCATCAGAGCTACTCAAAGTGACATGCGGAGTGCCTGTGAAGTTGATGAAACAGTTGTTTTGCCGAGGATGACGCATGTTCGGCAACCCCGACAAGATGCTGCAGCTGCTGGGACCTTTTCTGGAGAATTTCTGGCATGGTGAGCAATTGGACGCATGAGGAGGGAGGATAGGTCAGCAGATTCTTTTAGAGTCTAATGAAAGATAGCTGCTCATCACGAGTACAAGTGACATATAACCAGAAGAGATTCGCTATATGTTTGGACTGAGGGCTGGGGCGGCGGCGGGCAGAGCTCGGCACTCAGCAGGTTCTCATAGGTCTGCCAGCAATGGGGTCATTTAGAAGGGCCCTGCCCCAGGCCTGCTCATGTGTGATTCCCCAGGCCCCAGAGATACAACCCCACCCAAGATGCATCATAGCCCTTCACCCTCTCATGTGTCAATCCAATGCAAGCCCGAACATTTACACCACCCGGCGCAGCCTGGCATTTTCACCACCTCAAAAGCATGTCACCAAAGAACTCTGAATGTTTCCTGCACATGCAAGTCCTGCAAGCTGCAGGAAAGCCCCAGCTTGTGCACTCACCCGCAATGCGCCTCCTCACAAAAATCAGACCCCGCAACTGTTCGACTCAGATTGGGCGCCGGAATGGGGCGCTTGGGGCGGTGGGGAACCCAGGTTGCAGCCGGGTGCGTGCGCCGATTTTGTAGCTAGCTTCGCTTCTTTGATAGCGGCGGCTGTGCAGAGCTACAGAAATTTTTGTATGCATGTCAATGAGAATTTTGCTGGAGCTAACATGTTTTCAACGTGTCACTGTTGAGGTGAGGCTCAGGCCCAGGGCTTTGGACCGGCAAAGGGCCAGGGGAAGATGCCCGCGGGGGGCACTGGGTGCCTTGGCACGGTTGGATCTCGCAGCTGTGAACTCGAGATTCTGGACTTGGTTCTTCAGTTGCAGAGGGAACGTTTGCAAGAGGTGGGTCTCAGAGCTTGGTGGGGGTGCTGATCTGTCTTTTTGGTTGGGCCTTTGTGTGTGCAGTCGATCACACATGCGCGCTTGCTGAAGTGCAACATTCGACATCAAAAAGCTGCGAGCCACTTGCACTGAAGCTTGTAAACTCCTACATGTACCAAGCCTTATGCTTCTGCACACTTGAAAGCCAGGTACAACTGGGCCACGAGCGGCAAAGGCCAGGAAGAGCCGGAGAACATGCCACCGTTTTGATATTCTGGGTTGCTGTTAAGGAACTTAAATTAAGCTTATATAATGGGTATATCTAGCAATCAATATGGATTCTCCACTATAGTGACTGAAACTAAGTACCTTAACAGCAACCCAGTATTTGGTTCAGTCTGCTTCTGGGGGAATTTTAGGAGTTGGGAGCTATTCCTGGCTTCCTTTTCAGCTACGCGCTTCTTGGGGTCAACAGGGTTTGCAAGAGGGTTTGGCTTTGAGCCACAAGGCAGTGACCCGAGAGGTCGGGAAATACCCGTACTCCATCTACAGCTCAATTCCAATAGCCCTCGAACCTGAGCCCTGTACCAAAAGCGAGCATGCCCCTAAACCCTGAACATCAAATGTCCGCATGCAGGGCTCTTCGGGGCCTCTGCTGGCTTCCGTGTTCCCGGCAAGTTGCCTTAAGCTCCGGCCAGGCCACGGACGTTTGAGGTATTGGGGTTGTTGCTCCTAGATGTAGATGTGATCCACAGAGCCCATGAACTAGCAAGCAGAATCGCATCCTGTGCTCAAGTTGAAGGTAATTGTGAACGTGGCATGTCACGCCTGGACCCTAAACGAGAGGACATAGGCTGCAAGAGATGGCTCGGTCAGCGCCAGGTGGAAATGGACCCTACGGAAGGCAGTGACCCTGCGACGGCAGGACAGACAAGCTGCCAAAAAGCTGGATGTCCAGAGGTCATGAGGGGTCCTTCTGTTATTGTTCCTTGCATGTCAGGAGCGATGTGAGCTACGTATCAAGGGATCGAGCTTTGTCTGGGATTCCAGCGATCCCTTCCAGTTACCTGCGGCAGAGCCCAGGGCAGACGGCCAGGCCGTCTTCCCTGGTTTCGGTCACTCGAGCCGGGCGCGCAGACCTGGGGGCAGAAGGCTCCCAGTAGCCAAGCAGCCTCGCGAAGAAAAGGCTTTGCATTCTTCTTGGTCTGGCATTTTTCGATGCGACGATGGGGATGCTTGCTGAACAGTTGGCAGCATGACATGACAGGTGAAGCCGAACGGAGGCCTCCGATTTGAATCGAAGATATTCTTTTGCAGGGCTTCGGCTGAGCACGGTGGACTGTGCCTCTGACCCTTGAGGATGTCACTGGCATTTGCTCTATAGTCCCTGCCAGACCGCGACGTGGTAACCATCACCTTCGGGACGGGAGAGATCAGCGGCGTCTTCATGAAGGAGATTTCTGGTAGTATGCTGCTGCATATGGCTATCATGTTCATTCCATGCCAGGATGGCACATCATAACGTCATGTTGAAGTGCTGTGATTTTCCAAGTGTTGTGCTGACTGCTGGCTGCGTCATGCTTCATATAGGCATATGAGTCTGGCGCCTTTGGCCGAACTGCCGCGCATGATTGCGTTCTTGGACATGGACCTGTCTGAATCATCTTCAGCTGTATGCAGGCTCAGACATAGGCACTGCAAGGCAATTGTTTCTTGGAGTAGGGAGAGAAATAAAGCATACTGTGCTGGCAACGAGCGCAGAACGCATAATTGCTGCAGCTCCTACTCAAGTAGCAGTCCACGGCTCCAGCGCTAAAGGCTGATTGCAATTTCAACAATTCGTCTTTGATCCCTCATGGCCACATGTACCTGTGTGACGCGGATCGACCCGCCACCAGTGCTGGAGAAGCTAAACTGTGTTGCAGTATAGAGCTTTGAGACGGATGACTGCGAAGGTTCTGCGGTCACTTTGTCATGGTTGTCGTATGCTTGCTTGCGTGATGGATGGGTTTAGCGGAGAAATACAAGAAAGTGATTTGTTCGAGGCTTGAGCCAGCCACAGAGAGGCGAGTTCTGATTTATCAGGAGCTCAGCACGAATTTTTTCCTTGGGAAGATAAGTCCGTCACTAGGTGCAATTCCTGCAAAAATCAACAGGTGCATGCAAAACAGCACATAGATCCTGTGCGACCTTCAAGCGAGCGAGGCGCTCACGAATGTTGTGCAACCACCGTATGATTGCTGAGGAAACGCCAGTCCACCATCAGCAGCATGTCTACGCAAGATCTTGGGGCGCCCAGCGATGAGCTACTGCGGAAGTCCAGCGATCACTCGGCCTTCCGGCTGGTGGCTCCGAGGAGTCGAGGGGCCGTAAAGTTAGCGTATGTTGGCGTGCTTCCATTGCAACGATTTTTTTGATTGACTAATGTAGGCTTTCATGCCTCGAGGTCATCCACCACGAGGGTTTGACTGGGGGTTGAAATATATGTTCTAGGATCTTCACTATTCACTATGACCAGTCAGACAAAGCCCACTCCATTCTCTCGCAGTTGGACGATTTTCCGCTTTAAACATATACCATAGATGACCTTGTTGGATCAACAAGCGCTGCTTCTTCGAATCAAACGGTCCAGGGTTGCTTCCTGCAGTACATGGCCATCGGCATCCGTAGGGGGAACAGTAGCACACCAGTGTCAGCACGCTTACACTGCAAGCTCACTGCTCCCGAGCTACGTACTTCAGCTAGGTAGCATCACGCCTTTCATCTCCTGTATTTTCAAGTTAGTATTTTTGACCTCTGCCGTTGCAACCCGGAGTCCAGGATACTGGATGAGGTCGCCAGCCTTGGCGCAAGAAGCATGCCGCTGCAGGCTCTCAGGACGCGCTCACAGCGAACGCCCACGAACCGCAGCCATGTTGCTTGCAGCATGCCGAGCCTCGGTTGGAGACTGGAAACATTCTCCTTTTTGTTTGTAGTTTCTTCGAGATTCGAGTCTGTTTCAGAGGCTTGCCTGTTGCAGGATTGATGCCATGCAGAGACCGACACTGAGTTTCGAGCTCTTCCACAGGAGGGATTCGATCGTTTGCTCGGAGCCCACCCCTACGCCTCAGTTTCAAGAGGTCGAACTGATGAAGCAGATGTCCAATGACTTCGAGGTGGACGACGACGGATTGCTGCATCTTGACGGTGAGGATGCTCTCTTCAGGAAATCCCTGAGTAATCAGCCCTCGCTTGACGAATGCGGGACTCAGACGTCCAGTGCTCTTTGGAAGGATCCAGAGCAAGGGGTTATCATCGTGGACTGGGATGATACGCTTTTTGCCACCACTTGGCTTGCTGAGAAGAGCGAGTTCAAGTCCTGGCAGCGAGACTGGGTCTCTGGGGCTGCGCCGAAACTCTCCGAGCAGGATGCGCATGACCTCGCCGAGCTGGACAAGGCCGCCAGGTCCTTCATCTGCGCCGCCTCCGCGTTAGGAAGGGCCACTCTTCTGCAGGACGCACGCAGTCTGCCCAAATTACAAATCCTGCGCTAGAAGCCCTCCCCTAGCCAACCCAGGTGGTGTGTGTCACGCTTTCCCGGAAGCCTTGGCAGCACAATACCATGTGCCCTGGCCGCCTGTGGAGCGTAAGTTTACGGTTTCACGCTTCGTTTCGCAGATAGCCCGAAGTGAGTCCGTGTCCTCGATGGCAACAGCAAGGGAACAGAGAGCTTCCTAGACAACTCTTGAACAACAACTGTTGTGGGTTGCTTGTTGTTATTGACGGGCCTGCGCCTGCTATTCGTAGCCTCCCATGCTCCCACGTCTAAGTTTGAGTTAGAGCTTTGCTTGGCAGAATCCCACTGTGGGTTGCCACCAAAATGGCAAACGGTTCGCAGGCCACTGGCATCCTGTTTCATGATGTTTCATGGGCCGTTATTATATCCGCAGCCCCGCCACTTTCATGCTCCGAGGAAGGCTTTCATGCCTGAGACTGCCAAGGCGTGGGAGGAAGCAGGCTGGGGCTCCCACGGTCAAGTCGGCACAGTCTAGATCGATTTTCCAAGCGGTTAGGTTGTGAGGTATTCCGCCTGGTGTTGTCTTTGTGGCATCTTCTGTGGCTGAGCAAAGCCTGGCATGATAAGGCTACACAGTTGCTGGTACTCATGAATCCTGGACCACACGAAGACCCAGATGGCAAACCCAGTTTCTGAACAGCTTACGTGTCTCGAATAATGTTTTTCTTCAGCGTTCGGGTTATGTCACGACTAGCATCGCCCAAGCTGCAAACACTAGAATGCGGGGTAAGCAACTGGGCACACCTGTTCCTGTCTGCTTTTGCTCAAACTGTGCAGCGTGACAAAATTGCTCTTGAGCTCACCCCTTCAGCCCACTCACACACACAAAGCCCTTTGTTCGCAGGCGTAGAGGTCATCTATGCCAGTGAGGTAATGCTCCGCCGGCACTCTTCAGGCCCCGATACCGCTTATGGGCTTGAATCATAGTAGGTGGGCTCAGGTTTTTAGTGCAGTTTGGTGGGGTAGCTGCATGCAAGTGAGGTCGAACGCTCAAGGCTTCTGGTTCAGAGTGCTCGGTGATATTCGGTGATCAAAGACCCATACTGTTGTAGCCAATAGTACACTGGAGCCTAGCACATCACGGGCGAAGGATGTTTGTTCTTGCTTGCAAGGATGTGGCCTTGAACCCCTGACGCCGCTCTCGAATCCAGTACTGCTATTTACGTGTAAGTCAATTTCCGGTGCCGTTGCTAGTACTTGCAGAGGCATTGAAGGGTAGCATGACAAAACAGCTCATTATTGTCCAGTCCAGAGTCTCGCGGATGAGAGTTGGCAGCCATGGATCCCATTAGTTGAAGGGAAGGCTCTAAACTCTTGCAGCAATGCACTTCTGACTTACGACAACTAAAATGGTGAAGCGAGAGAGATGGGAAAGTGGAAGCTCATGTTCCATATGAGGGTCCCAACGGATGCCGTGACCCAAATAAAGCCTTCTCAGTAGCTGACTCATGGACGGCCGGGTAGAAGGAAGCCCTCGACCTATGTCAATGTGACCCTTCAAGCTTGATCCTGATGGCAAAAATTGGATGAAGTCCTGCGATCGCCCTAATGGATAGGCCAAATACTTCAAAGGTGTCCCTCTGGGGGTTGATACCCCCACGCTGAAATCACCAGGAGTCTGGCCGTTGAAGACAGAGTTGACAGGTGAGCTTTAAAAGGTGCTTCGACAATCTGTCAAAAAAAAGGACCTCGCCGACAAAACCCTATCTACCTAGCCCATCCCAAACCTCCAGCCCTTGCAAATTTGTTACTTTTCCCTTGTCAGTAGGTGGTGGTGAGTGTCGCCACGCCTCTGGCATGGGCCTCGTAGAGCAGGAGGTGACCCAGCCTTAATTCTCGGAGGGTAGGGTTCAGGGTACCTGCAAGCAAGTGAATAAGTGGCAGTGGCAACAGATCTGCTGACTAGGCTCCTAGCTGACAATCGCAGGGTCGCCTGAAGGTGGGGTGCACTGATGAGTAGCATGTTACTTATTACCCTTTAATCTTCCGAGCCCGTCAAACTTCTCAAGCACAGACGGCCTGTACAAGTTTCAGCTGTCAGGTTAGCAGTAAATACCACAATCCTCCATAGACTGTGTGCCGGGCAGTGCCAAGACCTGAGGTGATCCTTATGGGTCAGGCAATTAAGAAGAAGGAGACCGCAATGAGGCGGGTCATAAACAAAGCCTACGGAACCGGGAGCTGGAAGAATGTCGTTAGCATCGGAGATGGCGAGGCTGAGTTCAACGCGCTGCGTGACATATCTTTCAAGCACACCAACCCTACCAGTGGTGTGAGCGGAAGTCAAAAGCGCTTCCGGATGAAGGCCGTGCAGATGCTGGACTCTCCAGCCTGCAGCGAGCTAACTACGCAGCTACAGATTTTGCAGGCATGGATGCCCGCCCTCATGCACCTTGACGACGATTTCTTCCTGACGCTGAGTGATGGCGAGGAAGACATCCTCGCCATGCACAACATCCTGCTTGAGCGCCTTGAAGGGCAGATCTGAAGTGCGGATTTGTGAGCTCACCAGCTTTCCACCTTTTAGCTTCAATGGCCAAAAGGCCCTTCTTGGAATTTTCGCAGGGACCCCAATTGAAATGTACCCAACATCCTAGGCCCTCATTTTAGAGCCCAGAGAGATGCTTGTCTACCCCTCGCGCCATGCCGCGAGAGGGTGCCAGGGTTTGACGGGTTTGCAAAGTGGGAGGTCATGGGTTGACAATGACAAGGCTGTACGACACCGGTCTAAACAGTTGTTTTTTAAAGGTTGCCTCCATGGCCACTTTGCTTTGATGCACAAGTGCCTGCGCGATTTGAGTTGCGGAGCACGTCGCGTGAAATGCTATTTCCAACTTACCCACTCGTGCAGGCGAGTTGCCTCGTGGAGCACCTTTAGAGCCTAAGACATGACCGAACATGACTTCCGAGACTGGTGCTTTCTTACAGATTCATGGCAACTGATCCTGGAGCTGGGAGTGAATGCTGCGCTATGGACAACCACTGCCACAGCTTCCCTTTCCCAGAGCCCAGTCAGTTCTTGATACTCCCTCCAGAACTGGAGGGTTTTCCAGTTTCATCCATGTTTCAATTGGACCAAAGACACATGCAGCCTCAGAACATCCAAAACGTAAAAGACGCATGTTTGCTACGGCTGGCCATCCCAACTCTGCTTCCGGAGGAAAGGCATGTTCGAGGTTAGGGAGGAGGGTGAGAGATGGGCATCAGCTGTCGACACACACACACACACACACCTTAAAACGATCGCCCTTATTCTTAGGTGCGGTGTGCCTAGGCTCTCTCAAAGGCTGGGCGGGTTGAGGGTTCGATACTTTCATGCTGCCTAATGCGAGGCTGGAGTTGGCTGAGCTGTGAGACATTATCGCAATGCGCCCTGAAAGCTGCGAGCAGAGCTCTGGAATCTGAACCAGCTAGTGAGAGGAATGGCTACGAATCAAGCATATAGTCGGAATCCTTGCAGCCCCAAAGTTCATTGAAAGTTCACCAGACTTTGAAGTACTGTGCTCCCAGGTTAAGGTTAGGCGGATGTTCCACAGATTCTTAACATAGAGCGGCAGCGTGGCCTAGTCTTTGAGGTCAGGGCCAGGTGCTGTGGTCAACACTGTTGGAGCTCCCCTATTGGTATATTTGGAGCAAGCTGTTTTCGATGCGAAGGACCACATCTGCTTGGGTGACATTTGCACACATGGCAACTTCATCTCCGTGACGGAGGCGACTGGAATCTGCTTTCCTCTGCAATGGGTTCTGAGAAAAGCGTTGGGGTTGTACGATCATTAGCTAGAAGACTTTGGTGCAAGCATTTCAGTCCTGGCTTGACGGTGCAAATGCGCTGTCTTCGTGCATGACCTTTCTGCGAAATGTCCTGTGAGGAAGCATGTTGACATGTATGAAGGCAAGGAAGCTTTTCAAAGATGCAGGAGCATCCTATGTTCATGCCGACCCCGCACCCGACTGCGAGCAGAAGACCTTTCTTGCGTAAAATCACCCTTTGTTTTTTGGCGGCACCAGGAATCAGCATCTTTTCTTGCACGCAGGAAACTGAGCAGCCATTCAGCTTGGTGCCCTTCGACGGCATCTTCGGGCGGGACACCTGTGGATAGAGCTAGAAGGGCTAGAACAAAAGCTGTGGGCCTTGCTCTCACACGGCAGGTTGGGCTTGCCGCAGATGTCGCAAGCGCCGCACTTCAACGCGGGTGGCCCAGACCTTTTCAAGTTAGGTGCATGCAGGAACAGCTCAGAAGGTAGCCTTGCCTTCTGCCATTCCTGCATGTTTCTCAGCTGCTTTGCACTTTGTCCCGAGGTGCTGGACTGCATGATCCGAGACAAGGTTGCGTGGTAATTAAGGTTTGAGGGTCATGTCACTTGACCGTCGCTTCCTTCGGATCCGGAGTTGAATGTCATTCCAATCGTTCAACTTGCACTCCAAGCTCCTGCAGGTTCTGAAGAAGAACCTGTTCTCCGTGTTTCTTGCTGCCGATGATCGCGACGAAAGCGAAATCTCCTTTGGGGAGCGTGGGCCTTGGAAGAGAGGTGCTGGCCGAGGTTTCACTGCAGAGCTGACTCTGCTGCATGGTTCTGGGAGTGATTGCAGTAGCACGACGCAGCAGGACGGCAGTTGCTTGACCAGTGGCAATTGTAAGAACAGTACTGGTATCTGGCAGAGGCTGGGAGCAAAGCAGCACGCATCTGAAGAAGGAGAGGAAGATTCCAATGCCAGCCTGCACCACTCCGCGGTTGCTGTTTCCAGGAAGATTCAACCACACGGTCCTCAAGTCCCAGCAACCTGCGATGATTGCCCGTCTTTGTTTCAGAGGTAAACAATTGCGACTCCCTCGTGTCTAGCCCAGAGGTGTGTCCAGTCCTTTTGCCCCAACAAGTGTAACGGATTTGGCCCCTTGTCCGTCGCCAGTCGCTTTACCTCCCGCAACACCTGAGCCTGGAAGCCATCACGCCACTCGTGCCCAGCTTAGGCTGAAGGCTGAGCGCATGGCCGACCAGCTCTTTTGGGTGCCGGTGTCCAACCCTGGCTACTGGCAGGCTAGCATGTCTAATGCGTAAGACAGCCTCATTCTTCACTGAAGTATGATCAAAGAGGAAGTGAGTAGGAGTGTGAGACCTATTTTCAGAAGTTCTGTCAGGTTGAGATGGAGGATGTTGCTATCGGTGACAAGCTGCAGGGGCTCTGCAGCGGCAAGTGCCAGGTGCGACCTAAGAAGTTTGAAGCTGAGCGCAAGGAATCTGGAAGCAGTGCTGGACAGGCTTTCTAAGGTGACAGTGCGAGTGATTTAGACGGCCAGTGCACAAGGGACGGTGCCCGTATTTCTGTGGTGATGGCTCCAGGTTTTAGT